TTCTGTGCCTCCATTGAGACATACCTTGCATAGCTATCTTCCTAAGAAGACACTAACAACACTCAGGGGTTAAAAAGGCCAATGTCAACACTCTTCAAAGAGCCAAAATAAATCTTTATGGCATTGGCTGTTCATGTTCGAGATGGTTTGGAGGTAATTACCAACTTCTAATGTGGAAAATAAACCAATGTGATTATTTGGTAGGCTGCATTTGATTTATGACGAAACACAAGTGAGTACAAATTAAACCTGTCACGACCATCCAGCCCTGCTCTTGTTGAGCTAATCATTACTTCCAAATAAAAACAAATGTTTACAAAACACCTGTAGACTGACTGAATACTGAGACCAAACTTTCATTTACCATGAGTTGGAGGCCATAATGTGTGCCTCTGACTTGTTCCCTTGTCTAATGCAAAACTGTGTAGTTGTACGTTCGGAATAAGTTTAATGAATGCATAGAAACTCTGTTGTTCACCTACAGGCTACACTGAGTGATAATTCCCTAAATTTTACAGCTGACCACATTTCCAGGGTTAAGGCAGTAAATAGCCATTTAAATGATGGCTGGTAACCTGCCAAAGCAACTGGTAGGATACACAAAGGTACCAGCCAAGGCAAAAAAAAAAGGTTTTTAAGTGCTAACCTCTCATACTAGATTTAACATAAGAGTATTTTCTTTTTAAACATAAATAGTTACTTAAGGTGGTGTTACTCAAAGATAAGGACAAGAAACACTGGTGTTAGCTCTTCAATGAGACAAAGACACTGATTTCAAAAGTGAGACGCCAAAAAGCAGACAGCAGTATTCAGGCTACCACTGCTGTTGTGGTGTTCCTATATTAGCTTGCTGGTGCTGAATCAGGGGTGATAATTAATAGCCTATTCTCTGACTACTGCAAACACACACCACGCACGCACGCACGCATGCACACACACACGCACACACGCACACACACACACACACACGCACGCACACACACACACACACACACACTTAGGACAACACCGCTCTCCCAGCATTTCCCAGATTTATAATGTGCTGTGCAAACATTCTGTGTGACCTTGGCACTACTGACTGTTCTAACGACCATCAACCTGCTTTCAACGGAGGTGGAAAATAAAGTACAGTATTTAAGTGCAATTTTGAGGTATTTCTACTGTTCTCTACGTATTTCCACGTCATGCTACTTTAAACTTCTACTTCACTGAAGTGGGACTAGACTTAACTTACTGTATAAATTAGGGCTGTCAGCGTTACCAAAAAAAAAAAATCACAAAGCGATTAAGGTCTGAAAATAACATAGTTTTTTGTTGTTTTTTTCCAAAGTGTGTTAATTGTGTGCTGCTATTCTGTCCTTTAGATGCACCCTTACTTACAGTCAAGCCTCCTGTTTCCTGCTGCAGTGATGGAAAATAAGAACACCACTGCGCTTTTGAATGCCTCATTTCAATTTAAAAAACTCCCGGTTCAGCTGACAAGTTAAAAGCAATATGCATCTCGGCAGAATTTAACAGAATTATCACCCAAGCACTTCAACTTTAAGCTACCACCTACGAACTGAGCACACAGGTGCAGCTAATCAGACTGATGTCAGCAAACAATTGCATTGCCAACACCAGCAAAGCACTATTTTGGAATGTGCAAACTGCCACAGACCTGCGGATGAAACTGAATCAAAAAAGTTAACTACAGCACTTGCTGAACGGGTGGCAACTGACTACAGACCACGTCAACATCATGGAGGACTCTGGTCTAAGCGACGTCCTCAGGTTGACATGTTGTGACCAGTCATATGCCTTACTGTCGCAAGGAACGACAGTTTCACACATACAGGACCTGTACGAATCAGAGAAGGCAAACAAACTGAACTGTGAAAATGCTGTCACATTAACCAGGAATCACTGGACGACAGTGAGTAATCAAAATTATCTCGGAGTAACAGCATGACATATTTACACTGCCTGGACATTGCACCCCTTTGCTTTAATTAATTATTCAATTAAAATGTGTTTAATCACAATTAACTATCAAAATTTAATTAATAAATGCAATAAAAAAAATCATTTGACAGCCCTTGTATAAAGCAGTTAATACTAGCACATCCTCGATCAACTACAACACTAAAATCCTGCTGACATCTACTTGCATCAGTATTAAAATTTTAATTAAGTTATATATGATAATAAATCAGTCACAGGGTAGACATTATGCTGCAGAATGAGTGCTTTTGTTTCTGATCTCATTTTGCTGAAAATACTTATATACTAATATACTGTTGCCTAACTGTTTTTTTCAAAGTAGGAGTATTTTTACATAGTTAAGGTCCAGGCAGCTAAGCTGCCAGGACACTATTGTAATCCTAGGTATTCTTCTTCTTTCGTCTTCAGAGGAAAACATACTTCCCATGGGTGAAAACTCACCAAACTTTGCACAAAGGTCCAGTCTCATGCCAGATATCCTCAGCTGTAAACTCAAGCCAATAGTCCTGATGGTGGCGCTACAGCAAGCGTCTGAAGTTCAAAACTTTGAAAATTCATAACAAATCAACCATATGTGCTACAACTTCACAACTTTCATCAAACTGTAGCCCCAGTACTGAAGAAACATTTGTACATTTAACCCTATTAAAAATTATGAAGTTTATCACTTTTTTTTTTCAAAAACTGTAAAACTTCTTGAACCTATCTCCTCCCACAATTTTTGCTTGCTTCAGAGCATCTTCAGACTGTCCTACAAAAACTATGTTTCTCAGATTTTTGATTTATCAAAAATTGAGCCTACAGTGCATCAAATTGTTCGACTGTAAACGGTACTGTAAACATATACATGCAAATTCTTGCTAAATAAATCTTCAATGTTCATGAAAAAAATGACAAAATTCTAGAGTCATGGTAGATGATGTGTGGCAAATTTAAGAATTTTATCTCAAAAACTGAATTTTTGACAGCATTTTAAATTTTGCTCTAATGTGAACAATTGGAGTCAATGTAAAAATGGCAATTTTAAACATCAGTTTTTCACTTCTGGAGCAAATCAATCATTGTTACAAATTACCAACATCTATATGCTGTCTAGATGCAATATGTGTATTTTCAGATTTTTGTCTTAATAACCGAATTTTTTTTACAGTGGTTTCAAATCTGCCTTTCCATGCACGGATGGCTGCTTTCCTACACAACAGTGAATGGTTTACTCTATTTGTGAAGCCACTGTTGAGTTGCTACTTGCCAATTAGCTCAGAAGGGTAGATGACCGTCTTAGGTTCCAGAGGTTGCTCAGAATTGCCTAAAAATGCCCGGACCTGACCCATCGTTGCGCAGCAGCTATAACTGTATCTGTACTTTACTCAACTAAAAGATCTGAATACTTCTTCCACCACTGGTGCACAACACTGTGCACGTGTGGCAGTCTCAGCTTCAACAGAAAGAGTGGGCCTTCTAACATCTGTCTGCTATTACAATAAATTAGGTTGTTAAGATACAGAACTGGTTGTTACACTTACTCAAGTTCCCATGACATGAAACTGCATCAGCCAGCTGACGGTCAGCTGATGTCAATATTACGAGATCTTAAATGCAACCACACATTTTAGTCATTTCATCAGAGCACATAAACACAGAGGATGACCTGGTCAAAGCAGAATATCACACACTTATAGATTACACTCCTGTCACCCTGAGTCCTGCTTTTTACAGCTTGTTTACACAGGAGTGAAAACTTCAGCTTTCATTGGTCATGGACTGCACAACAAAAAACTCCACTCAAACCCCAAATATGTTAAATGTTCACAATTGAAAGAAGCGGTCATGATTGAGTCTCTGGATATGTGCGACTTGAGGATGGAAAGATTATACTCACTAGCACTTTTTACACTGCCTCTACAAAGGCGGGAATTTCACTAAGTTTTGCTGCCTCCCCATTCTATATAAAAGTACAATTGGGATGGAATGAGGGGATAGAGTTGTCTCACCTTTAAGGCAGCATCGGAGGTAGTAACAGTTGCAATATCAATAATTGCAATTTGGTTTTTATGACATATTTTTATATCTAATAAAACCTCCATCATATCAATATAACTACTAAAACTAAGAGGTTGAAACAAAAAATAATTAAAATGGATGTTTTGCGAGTCAATTTAGATGTTTGCTTTGTACCGAAAACCCCATCTGAGTGTTTTGTACATTTCTATAGGAAATGAGTGTACATAAAGGATTTGTGAAAGTCAGCTTAATCTGTGTATTTGAACACTGATACATTTCAGCTTGATACTGGAACAAAACCTACATTCTATAATAATAAATAAGCTCTGTAAATCCCTCAACTACAGATTTGTATTCTTCCAACACTCAAAAATGAACAAGCAGAAGAATTGGCAAGCACTGGCAACACCATCGTCTCTATACATATCTCAGAGTAGGAACTCCAAATGACTCCCTTTTGTTAAATACCATAAAATGCATGACACAAACTTCCTGTGCAAATACCCAACTTCCTACAGAGTATCAAGACAAAAATGAATAGTGAATCACTGCTACAATCTGTTGTGCCCCTTGTCTCCATGTGTCACCAACACTTGTGCAAAGAGAGACAGATGAGCAGGAGAGTCAAACAGCTGCCTTGACAGGCACAAATATGAGCAGTCAGTAACAGGTTTGAATGGTAACAGTGGGGCAGAGGAGAGTTAAAGAGACACCCAGTTCCCAACAGTGCAACAGGGCTGTCTATGTGAAACACATCCCTCCCTCCCTCCCTCCCTTCACACAAGGCAAACAATAAAGTTATTATGCTTTTTTTTCCGACTCACAGTTAATCCATGCTGTGAGATTTTAACAACAGAGTTTTGTTGTGGCCCAGATTAACTTTCGCTCGGTCCCAGCTGCCCTACCGCAACTTGGTACTTATAACTCGCTTTACGCACGACAAAACTAGGAGTTAAAACATAATACAGAGATACAGGCGTGTGTGAAACTCAACATTTGTCGTCGGGGGTACTCACTTTTAGTCACAGGCACGGCAACACACTATCCACCTGATCTCATGTCGGAAACGCAGCTGAGGGCGAGGAGGAAAAAACGGACTCCCTGCAGCAACAAAGTTGTTTCCGCGAAGGAATCAAACAGAGTTTAACTCGTCGGAAGCTTCGTTAGGTCTTCACAGAACAACAGACCGATACGGACACGGTGACATGTAACGGACGGTGGCGTGTTAAAATATAGAGATATATTTCTATACAGAAAACACAAAGTGCTGTAGCTTTGGGGTGTAAATGCAAAGTGTGTCGCATTCCTATGGTTTCAGCAAAACGCGGCCCAGTATCATGACGTCACCGGGAGGGAGGGAGGGAGACAACAACCATCATGTCCTGTTAAAATAGAAGACTGAATCCTTTTTCTCCGCTCCTCTTCCTCTCTGTCACACACAGTCAATGTGACACACGTCACATGTATAAGCTGTCACCTGTACTCCAGTAGTGGAGGAAGTGCTCTGATGCAAAAGTAGCCAAACCACACAGTGAACATACTCTACTGCATGTCCTGCATTCTTACTAAATAGTAAGTAAGTAAGATTATGTAGCAAAAAAATGTACTTAAAGAAGTCATTATGCAGTAAAACGATCCCTGTCCGTGTTTTACTAGCATAGTATTCACATATAATTATTATTACTTAGACTTTTGAGGTACCTGTACTTTAAATGAGTAGCCTATTTCCATTTTATTAAATTACATGAAATTGTTATTTTGTTTTAAGTTTACATTATTATTCAAAGGTCCAGTATGCAGGATTTAGGAGGATATATTGGCAGAAATGTAATACAATAGCCTATAATACCTATGTTGTCTTTAGTGTATAAGCACTTGAAAATAAGAACTGTTATGTTTTCATAACCTAAAAATGAGCTGTGTATCTACACAGGGAGCAGGTCCTTGTTCATGGAGATCGCCATGTTACACCACCATGTTTCTACAGTAGCCTGGAACAGACAAACTAAACAGTGGCTCCAGACGGGACCATTTGCATTTTTCGCATTGGCCGCCATAGTTAGAGGCCCATCTGCAATGAGCATTGTTGGAATTACACTGACACATAAAACTGTTTTATTCAGTGTTTTAACTGGTTTTAACACCTGGTCTGATTGTTCTGGAGAAGAAGAGGCCTTTGTGGACAATTTGGCTTCTTCAAAAAACCTCCTGAATGTCTGAATCTTAAGTTATCGGGGGGAAAAAAGCCACCAGCAGCAAAATGCCAAATATCATCAGAGATACACTGATTTGTAATTTGAGACTGCTTTATTCAGTGTTCTTACTGGTTTTAATCACCGATTCTGTTTGTTTTTTTTTTCTAAATTACTAATCACTAAGTCGGCTCCTGGTAAAAGCTCCTAAATGTCTGGATCAGAGGTGAGCACACATTAACTTATCAGAGAAAAGGAGTGAGCACAAAATAACATGTGGTGGGCAGTACTCACAGATTAATTTTTAATTGATCCACCATTCAATTAATGCTCTAGTTGATTCCTAAGGTACACTGCATTTAAAGTTGATCTACTGATCCAATAAAGCCGCAGACTGACTATTGCTGTAAATATATATATATGTTTACTGCATCAACACATGAATACCCAAAATACAATTTTAAGTCAATCTGCATTAATTGACTGATTATTTACAGTACTCATTGAAACATCAAGTGAGGATAATAAAGGGGATGAATGGTGAAACATTCCTATTTGTTGCATTTTCCAGTCACTAATTTAGGTTAATGTGAAGGTTATAAATTATTTTTACAGGGTAACTGTTTTCTGATTGTTTGTTTTTTGCATTGTCACAGGACAATATGACCCACTTTGTGGCACAACAGACTCTGACAACATGGCTCAAATTATTCATTATTATTTACAGTAGTCTGATCAAAGCAGGCTATTGTGAAATACCATGTCTTCCTGCTAGAAAGAGATCCATGACCAAAGTCTTCCCACCCGACACACAGATAACTAGTCAAGGCTAAATGCCAAAACACATCATAAACAACAAAATTTTGGGCAACATTGGCCAATGTTTTATACAAATTATATTTGAACCGTATGTATTTTAACTTTAGTGCTGTTTCACGTCTTAGATTATTATTTTTATTTACTTTTTTTTCTTTTTATAAATAATTGTATGAGCATTGTTGGAGGGGGCTTGAGAACTAAAAATTTCATTTGCAATGACACTGTTATTGTTGTGCATATGACAAGAAACTTAAAACTTTATCAATGTTGCCATACTAACTAAAAACATCACTGAAGTAGTTTCAGTTTAATGTAGAGGAATTAGTGACTTAACAAATAAACCCACTGCTTTAAAATCTAATGATAACCCACCATATTCTCTTTCATTAAAGTAGCATTTTAACATAAAAACATAAAACAAAGGTTATAACAGGAGTTCCTTATCAAAGACAGTCTGAGTGAAAACTGTGAAACATGACTATTTGTTCCATTATCTATCATCTACGTAACAGATTACAAGGTGTCAGCCCCAATAAGGAAAAGGCCTGTTGACATTCCTTTGAGAGTTAAAATACAGCAGGAGCAGGTCTGCTCAACGAATCGAAGCCAGACAACACACAAACCTGCCAATCCCTAGGCCGAGTTCAAACAAAGCATGCAGTGTTGCAGCCAATGAGGGCTGACTTCCAGAAGCAGGTTGTGGAATGTGGAAAGGTCAATGATAAAGAGAGCACTACGTAGATCACACAAGCTAGCTCTCACATATTTCAGCACACATACACAGACAGACCTCTGCTTGCAGTGCACCACACTGCCGTCAATATAAAGTCAAGTTTACTGGAAAGAGTTTGAGCTACCTACAAGTCACCACACACAACAACCATTAAAAAGGTGTACAAAACAATGCATAGGCGAGTGCAATCAGCAAAAAAACAACAGCACAGATTTTGAGCCTACAGTCAAGACAAAGCATCTAAAACACAGACAGCACTCTGACAGTCTACAAGTCACTGTATCACAGTTTCGACAAATAAATCCAATAAGTCCATGGACATTTTACTTGCCAGTTACAACGCAACATTGGAGCAATTTTGGATCTGAAATTAAAATAAAAATTAAAAAAAAAAAAATTGCATAAAGGATATGATAGTGTATGTATGTGATACACGTGGATTTCCACACAACAGGGACGGCATGGTTTAAGTGTTTCCTCTAAGTAGTGTTGATTTACTGCATTATTTGCCATTCTTCCCCTCTGTGCCCTCCCTCCAGTGCCTACATTGGTATTTTTGTTTATTGCGATGTCATTTCTTGGAATATCTTCAGATGCTTTATATCCAAAAAATCTGTACAACCTAAGCTTAAGAGCTTTGTACTTAAATAAACCATAATAATGATTTACATATTGAAATTGTGCCATATAAAAAAATAATAATACAAACATCTGTGTATTT